CAAATTACGATTTTTCGCAAGCCTCCTGGTGGGAGCCTGGCGAAGGCGTGGGTGTCGGCTGAAACGGCTGCTTCGGAGGTGGGGACCTGGAGGGAAGCCGGGATACCCCCCCTACCCCCCCCGCATTTTGGGGCTGTAAGGGAGAAAGGAAGAGGGTTTTCACCCTCTCCGCCTTCGGCAACCATCCAACACGCCCCCCAAGGTCGGCGGACTAGGTTTTACCTAAACCCCAAAAGTATGTAAAATAATAGCCCTAAACCCCTAAGTATAGCCCAAAAGGCCATTATTCTACATACCTTTAGGGTTCAGGTAGGGTTTAAGGGCTCCAGGGCTCATAGCGTTCTCGGGCTTAGGGTTTCGGGTCTGGGCGCTCGCCCTCCCTTTTCCGGTGGATTTTAATTTGGCTGCTTTCTTCGACGCTGCAGGTCTCTCGACTTAGGGTTTAGGGTTTAGGGTTTACTGGGAGAAAGTTTTGAGTATTATGGGCCATTCTTTTCCCTCTATATTCCCTGGAATAGCAAGACAAAGGTTTAATCAGGCCCCAAAATCTATCCCCACGACCTGGGTAACTAAACAACCAGACAGAAATGGTTTGTTTCCAAACAACTTTATTTCGTAGATTAGGGTCCCGGGTTTAGGGAATTGGTTATTTTGGAGCAGAATCTTTTCTGCATGTTTCACTACCCTGCTAGGTCGTAGTTGTAGGTCAGGGTTTGGAGGAAGGTGTTTTCCTAAACCCAAAAAGTATGTAAAATAATAGCCCTAAACCCAGAATAACAGCCATAAAGGCCATTATTTTACATACTTTTGGGGTCCAGGTTACCCTTAGGGCCAATTCATTGAGAAGATACGACATGCTAAGCTGTTAGACTCAGACGCCGAGGCTTCAGGGTTTCGGGTTCAGGGCTACTTGGAGGTTCATGGGACTTAGTAACTACTTATAACTGTGCTTATAACCCTACTTATAATTGGGGTAACCTACATAACGTAATTTAGAGGGAGTATAAGTATGGTTATAAGCCCAGTTATACGTAGTTACTAAGTCCCATGAACCTCCAAGTAAGGCTTATAAGTATCTAACTGACGTCTTGTGCTCCACACGATCGTCGTACTAATCCTTGGTGTTGAACGTAGCTTGGAGGCCCCATTCCCCTGACAAGACAAGTACTTCCATATACAATGCCCAAATAGGAGTCCTATTATAACACACCAGCATGATAACATTTATCATGGGGTCTCCAATTAAGCCCTAAACCCTAATTTAACCCAGAACCCAAACCCTAAATCAATCCTACATTGAGCAGAACCTTATGGGAGCTGGTGTAGGGCGGAGCCCGATAAACCTCAAATCCTCAACCCCTGAAACCGAAAACCCTAAAACCCCCTAAGAGTCCAGGGACCCAAATATAGGGCTTTAGGGCCCAAATATCATAATGTTAATGGTATTTGGGACCTAAAACCCCATTATTTGGGTCCTGGGACCCTTAAGGGCCCTAAACGCTGAATTCGTAGAGGGATCCCCAGGCCCTTCTCCAGGGTTTCAAGTTCAAGGGTTTCAGCATTAACCAACACAGGCAACCAAATTGCTTCCTATGCACTAAACCGTGAACAGCTTCCTTAACCGTAAGCCCCAAACAGCTTTGTAAAATCTAACATCTAATTCAATCATTTCCCGAACCCTAAGCCCCATGCCGTAAACCCTGAAAAGATCCTATACTTTAACCAACTTTCTGAACCCTGAAACCCCTAAACATTTTCCTACACCCTAACCCCGTACAGTTTTCCGCACATTGAATAGCTTCCGAATCCCTGAACCCTATATAACTGCCTTCCTTTTCGTGGGGGAGCTGATGGGGGACTCAGGTCCCAGCTGACAGATGCCTTCCTTGCAGTGTTGGATAAGTGCCAGGACCCGCAAACGAAGGCTTAGAGTTTACCTGGACCCAAAACTATGTGAAATAATGGCCTTCGTGGCTGTGTTTTTTTGGCTATTATCTCACATACTTTTAGGGTTTAGGTAAGGTTTAATGGATCAGGTTTTAGAGTTCAGGGCTTATGGTTCTGGAGCTTAGAGTTTAGGGTTTAGAGCTTAGGGTTCAGGGCTCAGGGTCTAGGGTGAGGTTTAGGATTTCGTGATATGACGAGAGCCGCACACTGGGGTGCAGGGTTCAGGGTTCATGGTTCTTGTTCAGGGATTAGGGCCGCGTTTGCGTGGAATTCTTCAAGTCGGGTACACCTAGACCTTAAATCCCACACCTGACAACGAACTGAGATCGGATTTTCTAATTGATGCATACATAATCCCTCTCAAGGGACCCTAACCCCAAAATCCCTAATATCCCCTATATATCCCCAAGGCCCCCCAAATCCTAGGCCCAAGCCCTGATGAGCTACTGTCAACATCAGGGTTACCGAGGAACCGTTTCGGGTTTAGGGGTTTAAGGGTTTAGGGGTTTAGGGTTTAGGGTTTAGGGATTACGGTTTAGGGTTTTATTGCTGGTCAGAGGGGTATCTTTGGTTGTTTGGTATATTCCCAAAAGTGGATACTACAAATCCTGCATGACCCTAAGTAGCTAATACCTTGGGGACTGTGGTACTCTAATGTATAGTGTTTGGGACTTTTGACTCTGGGCTTGAGAATCCATAGCGTTTAGGGTTCAGGATTTCAGGGCTTGAATACAGTAATCCCTTGCGACCAATATTGAATGGTCATTATAGTAGGCCGTCCTATGTTGTGGACAATGTTCTATGCTAAGGCCTCGAGATATTGAATACTAGGGAAAGGTGATTATGGAAAAGGATTTAGAACAAAGCTCTGTCTCGTGAGCTCTAGCTCTCAATCATGCGGGTGATGTTTTCCCCTAGGCCCTAAACCCTGAACCCTAAACCCTCAAGGTTGAGGTTATTTGAATTTCCGCAATCAAGGGATGGAGCATGGCATTTGTTCTTGGGACCTATAGTGCTTCTATGGGCAATTCCCAAAATCATGGGCACCTTTTTTGTTTATAAGTTATATTACGGAACCTAATATTCAGAGGTACCAAAATGGGACCCTAATTTGGGGAACTACCATATGGGGGCTGCTACTGCGTTCTTTCTTGCATTCCCTACTGATCACCTGTACGTAACCCTAAACTCTAAACCCTAACCCTAATCCCTA